CGTATTATCCTGGCAACGTATTTAAATAGTGGAAGGTGTTACTGGAGTGCAAACAAATTCATAAGTCCAAAGAGATCTCTCAGAACGGCTACATCTAATCAATGGTATAAAGACCTGTGGATTCCTTGGAAACTTTATGAAAACAAAGGCAGAGCATAGATTAAAAGGCAGCCAAATTTGACGACGCGATAAAACTGCAGAAGATTATGCCATAATGAGAATGTAGCAAAAGTACCCCTCGAGAAGCGCTAAACAGCTGAGAGAATCTGATCCTTAAGAATACACTTTGGAAATAGTCAAAAGAATTGAAATAGGTCTCAAATCATCAATAGAATGGGTAGTTTTGACTTTAGGTATAGGCACAGCATGTGTCGTCTTCTAATTCAACAGGGAAACCGAATGATCCTATATAGCAATATTCGGGAAGATAAGTTTAATGAAGAGAATTGGAATTCCATCATTACCATCATTGATTTAAATTTAATTTTGTATAGCATTTCATTTAGCTCACAACATGATGTACAGGAGAATGAGAAAGATCCATGCAAGTACAGATTTGTCCAAGGTTCAGTATCAACCGGCAAGTCACCATTCGATCCGACAGCAAAATGATCATTCACCTTGTCTACATGGAATCTGATCAGAGAGTCATTTCCCTCATCGTAACCCAACTTTCTTAACATCCTTCACATAGTGGAGGGATTCATACCCGCAAATACGATATTAAAATATTTTCTTCTTGTTTCCGAATAGTTTTCTTGGCCCTACTCCGATAGCGGCAATAAACTCTCCAATCATCTACAGACTCAGTAGACTGAAAAGTCGAGTGTGCATAATTTCTAAGGGAGATTACCCATTTAACATTACTATCCATGTTATGCACTTACCAGTCTCCCTAGGGATTACTTTTCTGACCACAGGAGAAAAGCTCCAACTGCACTGCTAAATCTTTTGCAAAACATTTTGCCTTGTCAAATAGAAAATAAACTAGAGTTTTCTGAATATGGAAACTACGAAATATAAAATGCTGTGTAATGGATTGTTTTGTCCATTAAGCATACAACATTATGAAATCACGTATAGTAAATTAAATACCATCTACGGTAAAGAACAAGAACTCGAATATTTCTTTTTGTGGGTTATACTATTTCATTGTTTATTTTTTTGCCTTGCATAACAATATGAATTTAATTGTTTGTCTTCGAGTTGACAAGTATTTCGAAACAATCCACGTTACGGGTTGAAGTTTTTGGCAAGGTGCTACGTTGTTGTGCTACGTTGCTACGTATATTTGCTACCCAACAAAAGAATTTGGTAACTGACGATTTAGTAGAAGTAATGTGGGCGGTTCAAATAATGGATTGCATCGAATTTAATTCCAATGTTATCCGCCTGAGTGGCCGAGTAAGCAAGGGTCTCGACTAGCAACTCAATGGTCGTGGGTCAAGTGCGGTAGAGTTTTTAATAAAGTTAAAAGCCTTAGATTCTAGTGCTTTAAGACTTTAGTCTTTGAGTTTATTGTCTGGCTAAATGTATAATAATAATAATAATTTCAATGTTAATATTGTGTGAAAACAAAAACGTTGAGCGATAAAAATTCGATGCTGGTTTATTTTGAAAGTTGTTAATTAAGTGTCCATCTGTCCTTATTGCGATTTATGTATACAGTTTTTAGCTATAGAAATTGCACGCAATCGTGAGGCCTTCAACGACGAGGTTTATCGTAAATTCCGACCCCCGCCAAAAATTATAACACGGACGATTGCTGTGACAGATTGAAGAGATTATTGTATTCAAATTTGTATAAACCACGAAAAATGCAGGAATAAGCTGCTTATTTTATTTTTTAAATGTAATTTGACGCATTAATAGATCTTATTTTATACGAAATACATTGGATTTCGTTTCATTAGGACAGATTGAATAGATCGCTTCTTATATTCGTCCTTCAGGTTACCAAAACGCATTGTACTGAAATTATACACAATGTGAACGCAATTGCTTTAAAAAAACAAGCCTTGTTTCACATCTTACCCTTCCAAATATACACGTCCCCTAAATGCGACCAGATGTGCTAAATAAGCAGGTGCCGGATATGAAACGGCCCTGTTGCAGCGCGGAAACATGTGACACAAATTGTAGCTGAGCTTTTGCAACAGATCGATGTTAAAGTTAGCGTCATCTTCGATAACATTATATCGCGTAGGTTTAGCTGTGCCTTGTACAGCTTTATGGCTAACCAAAAAAAATTGTTTCTCGTTGGGATGGACAATATATTGATCGACCACAGTGCCTGGCTCGACGTTATTAAAATCCCTATAACCTTGGCTTTGACGAAGTGGGAAAAAGCGAGTATGGTGCCGTTTAACCACGATTAGGCAAGTGATCTTTGGATTACAGCCCTTAATATAAACATAAAAAATTTTGATATTATTGTTGAGGTAGAAAGTCGTAAACAGAAAATAGCAGTCGTACCGCTTGGTCGCAAGCCCGACGTATGCCTCCCAGCTCGTCTTTCTTTATTTTGGGAAACTGGCCGTCTGAAACTCCATCTCGATAATAAATTATATGTGCTGGGTAACGATTTTGATAGCTTTTGTAGACGTTCAAATGATATTCAGTGATGGACTTCATGTCTTCGATCTCCTCAACTGTCGATCTCTGTAAACGGTACTGCATATTGTAACATGCACCATAAGCATCATGAGATGCTGCCACTCCCACCACGCTTGGTATGTGGCGTTGATCAGGTGAGGGATGAGTGACGTCGGCGCCCATAAACATCACATTACTGATGGGTTGTAAAAGCTCTTTTAATCCAGCCTCTTTTTCTTCAGACACCTTGTGATTGGTACCATTTAGTTTCGCATTTACTTTCAGCATTAAGTTGTGAATCACCGATGCGTCTTTAGGGGCACGCAATACAGTTCTTTCTTTGATACATTGAGTCAATATCCCCACTTTAAGTTCTGCATTTTGTTTTACCGAAGAATACGATGTGCCGTAATTTGGTAATACAACAATTACCTAAAATGGGAATGGGTACAATGGAAGGGAAGTTAAAGTCACTTGATATGAACTACTCTTACCAGAGCATAACCTTCCTTTGCAAGATCTTGTAACACCCAATCAATATTTTGAAAACCTCTTATTTCTCCTTCCTGTGCCAACTTTACATCAACTTGTTGAGCCGTCCTTTGGACCTAAGTGGGAATTATATTGCACAAAGGAGAAAGAGTCCAGAAGAAAGTGCAAATAAATAATAAATTTAAGCTCACCGCCTTTTTAAAATCTTCTAACGAATGCGCGTTAATGGGTCGGCCTTTATTTTCATAAACGATTGCCCATTTGTGTCCTTGGTTAACTTTTGACGTCTCTAAAAATTTTACATCAGCCAGTTGCCAGGCGCCATCGCGTGGACATGCAGTTTTGCCGCCACAATACTCCAATTCTGGAGGTGGCAGCAAGCGAAAATGAACTTTTATAAAATTGCCACCCAGCTGTATGCCGAAGGATCTTATAGTCGAATTTTCGTTGTGACGAAAATGAGCCATTAAATTCATAATTTTGTTTTTTCGTTCGTTTGTAGACGTGGCGGAATATTTAATCATTTTGGAAACTTGCATATTTCCATCCTTGCGCTTTAATCGATAAAGGATGAAAAAAATGACAAAAACTTTTTAAACAAGGAATTTTTGAACTCACGTTTAAAACTTGATCTTCAGCAACGGAACAGAATTCGATTGGAAGGGCAATTTTTCTTGTTGTGCTACCTGTTGTGATGCAATTCAAATAAGGGTATTGTAAGATACAACCTTTCGATGCAAAGTAATCTTTTACGTTCATCTTTGTGCCATCATCTAACGTGAAGAACGTTTTCGCAGGAGCATCTCCAATGTCAATCACTTTTTTTTTTTTTGGGTATAGCCCCAAAACTAGCAGGCGGAGCGTATACAATGTCTATGCCTTTTAAAAACTGAAGAATAGTTTTTTTCATACGATAATCTTCAATCGTGCGGTTGGTGTCTATGCCGCACTCTTTCAAGTATTGAATTATAGGTTGAGTTTTGGGAAATGATTTATGCGAAATGTCGACATTGAGTAAGGGTACCT